ACGGATTTGAGTGGTGTATGCCCGGACTGTCACAAATATCACGACGAAAGATGCAACGACGACCTGCATAACGGGGCACCATGTATCGGTACGCACTGTGACGCACGGTACGTTAGTTATTTTCGACCGTGGAGTGACCCTGAGGATTTCGCGCAGCGCGGGCCGTTCCTCCCCATTTTCGCTGATGCCGGTCGCCGCTGCTGCAGCCCGTGATATGAGTCTGCTTGGTTCCTTCCTCAATCTGCCGAAAATGTGAACCTCCGAGTGAGAGGCAGCTTGATGTGGGAGCTCTTGCGACGGATGGGGCGTGGTGGGCCCCCATCTTCTCCCAAAGAGGACACGAAGTTTGAACCCTTGCCGTTGCGGTTCCTTCTCCCCCCACGCTGTTTCACCACTCATTCCCCGCAAAAACTTCCAACCTTGCACTCCGTACGCAAACGCACGATCGACGTCGCAGCTTCGAACCTTTGGTTTGGCTGAGGGGCCTTGACGATTCGCGATCCCGGACCGTTCAGTTAAAAAAGGGAGAGAGAGATTGTGACTGTCGGGGTTTCCTCGGCTGGTTTCGGCCGTTCTAAGAGACTTCTCTGTCTCGACGTCGTTCCCACTGTATCTTAATCCTGGCGGGCGCCCGGGATCGGGAGGGAGTGGGGGTCGTCAGCCAGGCGGCAAACAAAAAAGTGACCCTTCCCGGGTTCCGAGAGGACCTATCACTGGTGAGTGGTAACAGACACCCAAACTCGGCGAATGGCGCGAATGTTGCATCTGGGCGTGGGCATGGCATGACGAACGCGGGCTGATACACTACATCGCGGCTCTGTCCTGCCCCATGTCAAGGTCGCGGCACGGCACAGAATGGACTCTTGTCTGACTGTCAAAGCCACCACGGCTCGCCAATCCACGGCTCGCCAATCCACGGATCCCCGCTACGGATACTTCGACCCCCTATCAAACCCCCTCCATCGAGGTCCGCCTTGATAACGCTAGCTTGCTTTACCCTGCCGCCCTCTCGTCGGTAGAGGGAGATAGAAGAAACCATAGCAGGCGGACCACCCGGAATAGTAGGGGTGTCGGATCAGATATCATCCTTCTCAGCAATATTCGGCATATTGGGAACCAGGCAAGGAGACGCGGCATTTCCAACTCCCTTTGCCGAGGGTCCTCAACAACCAACAAGTCCCAAAAGTAAGCATCCTTTAGCACGTTAACACGGCCAAGTAAGAAGTACTCCGGAAACCGTGCTTCCAGGGTCACGGCCGAGAGCAAGCTCACCACGAAGGAGGCCAGCGCTTGTGCCCGAATAAGACACGTGCATTATCCAACAGCCGAGAGCACCGCGCAGTCCCCCGCAGAGGCCGAATGAAGGCACCGGGATAAATGGCGTTTGACGGAGTCTCCACCCGGGTTTCGACCTCGGGAGGGTCCTCGACGATCCGCCGCGTGGGGATTCTGCATCACCCTTTGTCGACACGTCGATCGTATCACCCGTTTGGGAAGTCCGGACCTCGTCCTCAGGCCCTCCGAGCGTCAGCCGGCGTCGGTGGTTGTTAATTGATAGATATCAACCATTGGGACAGAGGAGAAGCATTATAAACAGCCCGGTTTGGTATTCCGGCGGATCCCGGATTGCTGGGCCTTCTTCGAAAATCTTTGAGGTACCCCCCCTGAGGTGGTCACTGAGGAAATCACAGGTGTGGACCTCCAACGGATTGAAACTTTGCTGAGCAGAAGCCAAGAGAGAAGAGTATCTGTGGGAACGGACGACGAATAGGCTGAGTTGAACAACCCCCACCCCCCGCAAATGGCGACGGGCGACAGAGTTCGTGTGCCGGGCACTGAAAACAGTATCGCGGCCCCCTCCTCCCCCCCAAGCAGGGGCAGCCGAATGGCTGAGCCTGCGGGCCAATGGCTTCGTCAAGGGCGTGTGAGATTCGGATCTTGCTTCCTGGAAGAATGGGGCGCGGCTGCATGAATGCATCGCAGCCGCCTCGCTTGCGCAAAGACCTCTCTTCCGAATCTCGTTCACCCAACATCAGAGCTGGGATCTCGCGCTGACAGGTCGCGCTGACAGGAATCGAAAAGGTTCTTCTGCATGACTATCGCGTTTGTCCAAAAAGGCGGAGGACCAAAAAGGGCCGGGCACAGACGATATGACTTGAGTGCAAATTAGCGGTGTCGTCACGAGGGGTGTCGAGACTGTCGACCCCTCGTTCCGTGGACACGCCCCCTGGTCGCTGCAAATTGTTGACAGCAGAAAGCGCCGATGCAGGAACTGTTGCCTCATCGGCCGCCACTAGGCCATCCGTGGACCGGTGGATGGATGGTATCTTCGGCGGTCATGGAATGATGGAATTGATGAGGATGCGTGAGGCTTCTGCTCTCAGCAAGGAATGGTGGTGGGTCGGTGGGTGTGCGGATAGTCGTTCATCCAACGCTCTCCTCGCGCCATTGGGACGGTATTCTGGGATCGGCGTCCCACTCGCAACCGTCAGCTGCCCATCATTCCGGCAATAACAGCGCGAGGCTATTATCACCTCAACACCATATACCAAGTCCAACGTCACTTGCTTGGCGGGGGGAAGGCAAAGAAGCACCTCAATGCGGACAGCTGCGCACCGTAGCAGATCACAGCTTGCAGCGGCGCGAGACGGGTTTGAGATCTCGAAGGGACGTTTCCCGTTTCCGCATGGCCTGTTGCGAATTTCATCAGTGTCAGTGCGCAGCCAAGGCCTCCTCCGGCGGCGCCGTTTGACATGGCCCATCACTTACCGAATCGGAAGCCCAAGCTCCTTTGCTTGCCCCTGTCGAGCCGGCCTTTGGCGACCGGCTCCGTGCCCACGAGGCGCCGGCCTGGCCCTCCCAAGTCGTTATGGTGGGGCTGTTCCAGGAAAGCGTTTCTTGCAGCATGCGTCGGGATGTTCGACGCAGGCCCCCTCCATGAGAGAAAACAAAAACCGCTTCGAAGCCCTGAAGGTCCCGACCCACGGGCCACGACCACAGCACGGAGCGGCCCAATTCGGCCTCTCCCACCGCAGAACCGCCTTTTTTTCAACGCTCGTCTCCACCTGTCCCTTTCAGACCCCGATTTTACCCCTGTTACCCTGAGTGTGTCCGCTGTGGCCTGTTCTCCCAGAACCCCACCACCCCACTCCATTTCCCCTGCTCCAGGAGCTCCAGCACTCCCCTCCCACACATTTTCCGAGCAGGGGGGTTGGTTTGGTTTCGAGAGCGCCGTTAACGTCAGGCTTGCCAAGCAGCCAACCCAAGCTTGCCAAGGTCGCACTGATAGGGCGAGGGGCAGATTTACCTCGCAGCATGCACACGCACACGTTGCTCAGGGAGGGGTGCATGCTGCGAGGGAGAGAGAAGGAGGGTTGAATTCGAGGGGGTGTGGGAAACACCGATCAAGGCATCAACCCGTCAAGGTTCTCATCCGTCCGAGCAGAAGAGCAGAGTATGGAACCGTTCGAGTTGAGAATTGAGACGCGTTGCAATCCACCCTGTATTCTCCTGCGCGCCAGAGCCTGAGAACATCCAAGCGCTCGACGACTTCGGTAGACGGACGGCCTAAACTTTCGGAACACGCTCACTTTTCTTTCCTTCTGCCGCATCGATCGCGACTTTTAGGCGGCGCAAATGGGAAGGAGGGGAAAAGAAAATGCGACGAAAAGACCGAACACGCGCTCGCACACGCCATCCGCGCACGCACAGAGCTCACAGCCGAGAAAAAAGTGCTTTTCGTTGCGCCCCACCTGTGATCCATCCGAAAGCCCAGGATCAAGGCCAGTGCGGCATACCCTGGACTTGGGTGTTGAACCGTGGTCTTTTTGGCACTCTGGTCCCTTGCCCGGAATCATGTATCCGCAGTACCCTCCTCGTTGACCATGGATGGGCCATGGCGACTACATCTGGGACCCTTAGACATGAGATGAGGCCTTTCCTGTTTTCCTTTTTTTTTCTCAAAGCCCGGCAACGGCGTGCGATATCTTTTGTGGGAAACAACTTCCTCCTTTTTCTGGGACACCCCCCCCTGGCTCCAAGTCCTTCTCTCTACCTCATCGCACTTGACCCTGCTTCCGTATCTTGACTTTTTGGGGACTCTATGACCCCATTCAAAGCCTTATACGGTATTTGCCCACCACCAATATCCACGCCACTCACCTTCCCGAAGTTGATGAAAGCGAATAAGCCTGCTTTAATCGCCTAAATTATCACGACACCATCTTACTACCACGCCATCATTGCGTCCTCACCCACACTGACGCCGAATGTTTCCGCCTGCAGCCCAGGAACAATACCGCGAACCAGTCTCGCGGCTGTGACCTATCGCACCTCGGATCGCCTTCCGGGTCTGATATTGGACTGGGCGCGTGCGGTTTGTCGTTTCCCGTCCGGCCCCCTCACCGAGCAAAACAAATTCGATGTCTTCCTATTCCGTCAAACCCAACCGATACAAGGCTTTTACGCATTGAGGGCCGAGGACCGTGACCACCTGCTCCCAACTCTCACACCTCACCATCTTGCTTTTCCCTGGGTGCATTCAGGGGTGGATCCATATCCAGCAGGCCCATTTATTTTATTCGAGATACACCCTCTCCCCCTAGCCCACCTCCACCAAGCCCTTCTGTTGTTTATATAAGTCGCGGCGGGTCGCCCGGCTCCTTCCCTGTCCACTGCATCGACAACCATCTCGGCATCGACATCAACCCACCATCCTCTTCTGGCGCTTCCGCCGTTGCATTCCCGGGGAGTCCCGCCTTGCCAACCATCCCGCCCGTCCATTCTGAAAGCTCTCCTCACCTATTTCTACCCGTATGTCCCCCGTGCCTGACACACACCCATACGGTCTTTGACCACGTCGAAGCTCACATAGCTAATCGCCACAGACACCCACGGCCAACACATTTTGGTCAAGACAAGACTACCGACACTCTCTTCCACGCAGCGGGAACGGAAGACTCAACCTGCCCGTCCAACCCCCTCAACTCAGCACCTTCATCATGTGCGACTTTACCAAAAACTACTACATCTACACTTCGTGTGTCGATCCTGGGGCACACTTCTTCCGTACCTCAGTGGACGGCAGCCGGAAACGTTCCTGCCCAAAGAGCCCGCACGAGCGCTTCATCATGTTGCCCGGGGAGTGCCCGATCTGCCACGGTGGCTGAACGACCCGGTTTCGTCGACTCTTTTGATGTGTGCGCGCGCGGGAGCCGGGAAGCGGGAGGGAAGACTGTTGAAGCCGGCTGCAGGGACGTTTGGGCCGCCCGCTGGTCCCGCTTGTGCCGCCTGTTGTACCACCAAGCCGGGCAGGGGCCTTCTTTTCTTCTTCCTTCAGCCTCGCCTCTTGTTTCCCGCCTGCCAAGAACGAAGAGGAAGGGAGGAGAAACAGAAAATACAAAGGAGAAAGAAGGAGCAGCCCCGGAAACGAACAGACCGGTTGATATAACGCGGGAAGTGGGAATGGTGGAAGGCTACGGGAGCAGTACTACCTACTTGAGAAGCAACCCGGGACGGATCGGATAGGATCGGATCGCCCGAAACAAACATCCATGGACGGACACGGCAGACCACCACCCCCATGCCCATATGCGCACGTACCTACCTACACACAAAGCACATACTCACACACACGGCGCCAAGGATACATTTATATACCTTACTTGCATAAGGAACGGGAACAATCGGCATCCTACGAAACGTCCCGCGTCGCCTACCATTTTCTTTTGGTTACCTTACCCTGCTACAATTCCCCCCCAACCCACCTCCTCCTTCCTCGTCTCGGACTCAGATGCTCTTCTCCTAACTCGTTCGATTGTTTGTACACCACTTCATGACAGGCCGTTTTGCAATGACGATACGAAGCAAGCGAGAACAAGAAATCAGGGGCGGAAAAAAAGATGATGAGCACGGCGGGGCGTGTATCGTCTTGGTGTTTTTCTTTTTGTTTATTTGCACCATCTCTCCTCTGGTTACTACGTCTTCCTAAGTTTTTCTTTCTTTTGGGGTTTCTTTTCTTTTACCGGTATCATACTTAGCGTCTCTTTTGGTTCGTATCTCATTTATTCTTACCGTCTCGGATCTTCTTGTGTTCTTCTTTTTTCGTAATCACCGGCAAGCGAGTCGTATGCATATACCTATCTATCTATGTTCACTCAAGCCATTCGTGCCCAGCAGGCCTGTCTGTCTTAGCTATGCATGCGTTCCGGCGTGACATATAACCGACGACATCTAGCTCTATTAGGACGGTGTATCTTACGTTATCCCTTTGTTATTGTACTTGCTTATCTGCTTTCGTGTCTTGTCTTATGCAATTGTCATTTTCTTCTATTCTCAAGTATGGCTGGTGTTAGCTTTCTTTCCGCTGAAAGACTCAAAACCTGTTCGTCTTTTCCTGGTAATGTACTGTACTAGTACTACAACTACACTTTCACGCATTTCAAACCCTTATCTCACGCAACAAACAACCCCATTCGCATCAATAACCGAACCGACTCGACTCGGGCAGATCGATTTGAAGACAACCTTTTGCAGGAAGCTGGTGCAGAAGGAACGGTAGGAGCTTTGGGTATGGCAATGGGTGCCTGGGATAAGACGGGCCTGGGACACAACGGAGGAACGAGGGGCGATCAAGCTTAGGGGGTCGGGTACATGGTCAGTGTCAAGATACACGCTAGGAGTTTTCCGCAAGCGAGCTGGGCGAGCGAGCTCCTTGGAATTCGATCTATTTCACAACACTTTTACGCAGAGTATGTGTCTGAGTGTAATGCGTGGTACATGTACAACTGGTTCAACCCGGATGGAGGTATGGGAGTGGCAGGGAGGGTAGGGTAGGGTAAGGAAATGACCCGGTTGGTGGGACCTACGTGAAAAGGATCTATCGGCCTGTTGGCGCCGAGGACAGATGGGGGGGGAGGACTGAGGGAGAGGTGGTGGGTGAAGAGGAACGAAAAGAAGGAACGAAAAAAGGGGGGAGGACAGAAGAGAACTGGTGGGCTGAACCAAGGACAGGAAGGTATTGTACCTACCTACCTCCCTACCTCGGTAGGGATTGAGGACCGTTGGCGGAGCCTATCCGTTGTTGTTGTTGTTGTTTGCACGGGAGCGGGCCGGCCAAACGGCCAACGGCCCATGTCATCCATGCCGTCTTTGTCTTACCTTTTGGTTTTCCTTATGCCGCGCTGTCCGCCCTCGCGCACACACACTCACTCACGAGCACACTGTCTCTGTTTCTCTGCCGCCCGTCTGTTCTTTTTCCGTCCTATGGGGATAACTGGAACCGGGACTGCTGTGGCCCGGATATCCATCCATCCCGGTTGGAGACTCGGCTGGTTCGGCTGGCTCGGCTGAGGCGGCTTGGTTCGGTTGAAGGGGAGGGGAGGGGAAAACGGGAGGTGGGGGGTAGGTCGAGAGGGAGAAGTCGCTCTCTTGTCTCGGGTTTGTTGTTGGACTATGGGGAAGTATTGGTTGGGACTGCTTGAGGTTGGCTGTTAGGTAACAGGGGTTAAGGATGGGCAGTTGTGGGTGTATCTTTGATCAAGAACGGTAAAGTCATGTGTTTAGTTCTGCTTTGCTCACCTCGTTTCCCTTCCTTCTGGCATATGAGTGTGTAAGATTGTGTTAAATCCATGTGTCTTCTTTCGAGATCGAGATCCTCTCTATCGTTTCATCACGAGCTAGCAGACTTCTCGGACCATGAAACAAAGATCGGGAGTCACCTTACTTCTCCCATTTGTTACCTCCCCCTTTTGGGTAGGTAAAACCAACGTTGCGTCGGTTGCCACGGTAAGACAACCCGAACGTCCAGACATGTCGAGATGCATAAGGGGGCCAGCCATGACCTGCACAGAAGGTCAGCGAAGAGGCAGGCCCGCCCTATCATGGCCGCCGACATCGATCCGACATAACCGCTGCTGGTATGGCGAGTACGTGGCCCACAGGGATCACACCGAAATGGTGTGTCTGCTTCTCCTCGCCACTCAGTGATGTGTCGTGAGGTGTGTATATGTGTGTCATCATCGGGGGGTCTAGGCCAAAGGCCACACGCTGGTTACATCGGCACTTATTCGTTGGATTGGCCTCCTTATTCGAGCGGACTATTTTGTTTTTTCGCCGAGACCGTCAGCAAAGCGGGCATATTGGCCCCCATGTCTACCCCCTCAGTAGTGAAGATCACTGCGGTACCGGCGAGCAAATATGTGGCGTGACTTGGGGGGGGTGAAGTCAAGCAAGAGCGGCTTCAGCTGTAAGCGGGGGGGATGGGAGTCTCGTACCACACCTGCCTGTGCACTGCACTGCATTCGGGGATATAGCTCAGTCATGTGGGCTGAATCCCTTATTTCAGGTCCTAAGACTGCAGCTTGGGTAGGGGGTAGGTAGAGCACGCTAACCCGGGCAGCTCGTGGACAACTTGTCCGCATCATTAAGTGGCGGCCGGTTGGCCAAGGAGAGGCTCTTGTGGACGTTCTGAAACCCTTGGTTGGGGACCATGGTCAAGGAGGGTGTGGTGTTTGTCCATGAGCCTTCCTTCAGACCCCCATTGAGGATACCATTGGACAGCGTGAGGGCAATATCGACGTATATTGTTCATCCTGTCCGCCGTGGCCAACAACTCAGTGGCCGACGCGGTCGGACCCAGCCAATGCGGCGCCATCATCAAGAGATATGCGGGAAAAACAGGTTAGTGCAGCTAACCCACACGAGGGTGACCAGAGGTGCAAATGGTATGGCTCGGTGGCCGTATCGGTCTCCTGCGCAAGAGTACGGAGAAGGAAGGTAAGGAGGGGAAACAAACTTACTCTTCGTCCCTTCGGTGGGCGGGACGGCCCCAGCAAGAGGCCAATGGACCAACAAGGAGGGTACACCCCAGTACTGATAGCACCATGATGAGGTGGCAGTACTATCCCACCCCTCACGGCACGTCAGTCTCTTCGGTAGCCGGCAGGCCGTCTTGTCCAAAGACCGCAAAGGGGTCCAGATATAACAGCAGGAGCCTATAACCGGCGCTGGCGCTAAGTGAAAATACCCCCCTCAGATCACAACGCACCCCTCTCCCACGCCTGGCTCCCTGAAGGCAAGTTTTTGCAAAGGCCCATGGCGGCCCAAGGGTTGTATCAAGGCGGTTAGGTTGGTCCTGCGAGCTTGGCCAGCTGTCGGCCGCTGTTTCCGGAAATAGGTGTAGGTTTAAGTTGAGCTGTATTCTTTCCCTCTAGTTCTGTAATTAAACCGTTTAGGGTACGGGGGCTCGTTTCCTATGAAGCGCATGAAAAACATCTGCACATCACCTCAAAACGGGGAGAGGATGCAGGTGGATCACAGGGGGTGGACCTACATATCTTAGTCCAAACCACCTAGCCGAAGGCTACGCCGTCGTGGCGATCCGCCCTCAACCTTCGGCCATGAAGAAGCTTGGGTTTGTTACAAAGCCCGACATTATGGGAAACCGGACTTTGTTTCTCTCTCGGGCCAGGTGGCCCAAGAACAAAACAAATGTTTGACCCTGTGGCCGACAGCGATGCCTTGTACAGGTCGTGCCACGAATAAGTGGTGTGATCCTGAAAAGTGCCAGTGCGTCTTGGTAAAAACACGGTGCCGTGGGTCCGTCGCTCGGGGTGGTCTCCCCGCCTTCCGGATACCGGAGAAGAGAAAAAGATCGGTATGAAGTTAGCGATACCAAGGCCTGCCCCCCACCGAGCCAGGCGAAGGACCCCCCATCAAGCAAACCAAGGACACCCACTTTTGATGCGGAAAAAGGGCATTGCTTCGTGGTAGGTAAGGAAGGGAAGGAGGGGCCCAGAGGAGCCTGGGGATAGCCCGCCGGGACCATGCCCCGTCGATCCCCACCCGTCCCGTGCCGAGGGGGAAGCATAGACTTGGTGTATCTAAAAAAGCACGCGAAGGCACTGGCTCATCCGCAATTCGGCGACCGGGCGGGGGTCACGGATAATTGTCCAAGAGAGCCGTGGGGTGCAACAAGACGTCGTCTCGAAACCAGGCTCACGGAAGGGGGTGGTCCAAAGAGAACGCAAAACTGGGTCAAGATAGATTAGCGAAAGGGTGCTACCGGCTCCGTTATAAACGTGGTATTACTACGGGCATTATTACAAGCAAGTATAGACACCCTAAAAGGCATGAATACGGGAGGCCGAAGAATCAACTCTCGGGGATCCTCCCATGCTTCTGATGATGCGAAGCAATCTGGAGCACAGCTACCCTGCTTAGGGCGTGCCGCCAAACTTCGCCAAACACGATCGGCCTGGAGAATGAAGGCGGGTTGTGAGGGGTTCGATGTGAGGAGCCAATGCTGTCCGTCTTTCCGGGCTTGAGAACACCGGTCCGCGGAGGGTAGGCAAAGCTGGGCGCCTCAGCCGAGGCGTCTGAATAGAGACACCTTCGTCAAAGCCCTCAATGCGCAAGGGGCTTGCTCGCAGCCGTTTTGAGAGCGTTTATGGAGAGATCATTTTCATCCGTTGGACAAGACGGCCAGAGCTGCAGAAACCGAAGGGGGCATAACCCGCTCAGTCGAGAGCATTGACCTCCAGTGCTTGGGAGTTGTCGATCATTGAGACGAGCACTGCTGTCCAAATCGGGAAAGGCGCAGTCGGCATCACGGACCCTCGCGGTGTCGGTCCGGCCCTCGGGTAGGCTTGGCGAGTGGATGTGTGGGGTGGGCTGTTTCGGAGGTCGCGTGGCTCGCGGTACTGTAGTGTACCGTGAAGGCGTAACAAGAGGCCTCTATGCATGGAGTGGATGCCAAACTAAGTACAATGGCTTAAGTGCTTCACGAGTGATTCGCAAAAAGCGAAAAAAAGAAAAAGGGAAGAATTTACCGCGAAAAGGCTCGTGCATCCTCCAAGCGACCCTTCCAGACTTGTAACCTACCTCCGTGTCTCTGTATGTACTGTACCATCGTCATACAGGGGAAGGTCTGCGCTCTGGCGTAATACCAACAGTTTCCGACCCGAAGTCGGTAGTCCCTGCGTTCCGAGTAGGCTCTAGCACCGGATTCGAGAGACATGGTGTATCCGCGGTACGGGCGTCGAAAAAAAAAACACTTTGGCCGTCACTGAGAACCAACACGTCGAGTCGTGGACTTCGTAACATTGCCTAGAAGGCGTCGTACCAGGACCCGGCGCGTGATGGCCAAATCCTTGTGAGGGAGCATTCAGGACGGCGTTCCTGAAAGGGGTCGCGATGAAATGGCCCTAACAATGTTTAATATCAAGCACAGCAGGTAAGGGTGGAGATCGCGCACAATTCCCAACGTCTCGGGTCCTCAATGTTGCACTCCCGTCATGCAAAGCGACTCTGTTTGCAAGGAGGCCATAGAGGGCGTAGTTCGTGTGTTGCGACGCGGCTCGCCGTTTTGGCCGTGCTGTTTGCACCGATGCAAGATGAAGATAATTTCACGATTGGGATTTTGAGATATCGCCTGAAACTGGTACAATCCAGGTCGAGTAGAGTAGACAAAAGTGTCAAGGTTGGTTCAAAGGTTGAGCTTCGCGTCGCGTCTGAGGACGAGGAGGCAAGCGACGCTCCATTGGACCCCCACTCCGCCCATCCCAACTCGTCCCTGCCCTTTTGAGTGGTGGCACTGATTCCGGCCCGTGCTCCCCCTCTGAAAGTCCCCGGGCAAGGAGGTTTTGCCCGCTCCCGCTCTCGACATACACTACTAAGTAAGAAAAGTAATGAACATTACCTATGTTACGTCAGCCTGAAGTTTTGAGGGCCTACCTGGTTTATTAGAATAGTTTACGGAGTATCTGTCGTTGAGAGAGAGATGAGATCAAACTTCGCAAACCCACCACACGGACCAATCACAGGCCCACAAAGTTCCATGCAACCCCCAGACTTGGCAGGCGTCGATTGCTTGGCATTTGTGCCATTTCAACTCCAGGCAACAAACCACCACCAAAAGCATCAGCATCACCAATTGGATCTTACAGGACGGTCTTTCGGCTCCAGAGAATTCAATCATCCCGGATTATTTCTCATGACGAGGGACAAACCTTAAGAAATGGCGGGATCGGTCCGCTATATCGCCGCCGGATGCCTCATATTCGACCAGAGCGGGTCCCGCCTTCCCGAGCATCTCTGGTCTGATGTCGCGCAACAACAGTGGCGCCACTTCGGTCCCTTTGGAGACTCGAACACGGAAGGAACGGGGGATAATTCCTCTGAAATCGATTCCTCACATCAACCCGGCTCATCTCACCCACAATTCCTCGAGGAGCAGACCCAAGCTCACTTCGTGGCTTCCGCGGGATGCCTCGCCCCCTATTTAGACCTTTTGCGGAACCGCTGGATCCGGATGAGCCTTGGTTTGGGCCCCGAACAATTGGGCCTAGTCATTGTTCGAGTTTACATCCTTCCGGACGATGTTGAGAACCGCACCATACCCCGCAGGGATCCCTCTTTCCGGAAGGCAAGGACAAACCTCCTTTCACGGCTGGATTTTGCGCCGTCCACGTGGAATGGACAGCCTGGAAATATTCCATCTCGAGCCCCCTCACTTTTCAACAACTTAACCCCGGAAGTCAACCCACAAGATGAAGTCGAGGGCCAAACCTTGTTGCAGATGTTCAATAACATCCCGTCCCCTGATCCGAACCCTGATGACATTCGCGACTATGAAGCGCGCGACGCTGCCTACCGGGTGATGAGCAGCAATATCTTTGGCCTTTCGACGAAACTTTACTCTTATCAACGGCGGTCAGCGGCCTTGATGCTGGAAAGAGAAGCTGAGCCCAGGGAAATACCGGATCCGCGTTTTGTGAAAGTCGTCGATCAGCTTGGAATGCCCTATTACTACGACCCCGTCACTGGCAGTGGCTTGCTCGAACCTAGGCGGTACGACGGACCTTGTGGTGGGATTCTTGCTGAAGAGATGGGAGCAGGGAAAACGCTAATTTGTCTGGCTCTCATCCTGGCAACGAGACATATTCCCTCTACTCCGCCCGAGCATTTGCGTACAGATGAGCCCGTGATTCGCCCAAAGGTTGGCAGCCTCGCTGATATGGCCGCGGCATGTATCACCCGTCACTCGGTGCCGTGGAAGACGGTGTTTGGGGCATTGGAGCCTGATGGTATCGACTATCCCCTATGTGTCGCAGCGATCCAACGGAACCCGGGCTTATATCAGCTTCCGCCCCCGGCCCGTCGTCGAGAGAGCCGACGGGCGGACGGCCCAGTTTCTCCAACAACGGTGCATTTGAGCCATACCTCTCTTGTCATTGTGCCCCCTAATCTAGTGCAGCAGTGGAAGCAGGAGATCACAAAACACACTTCCGGTCTAAGTGTCCTAATCGCCGATAAGAAACAAGAGCTACCACCGGTGAAAGATCTTCTCGAATATGACGTTATTTTGTTTTCGTCGACACGATTCGAAAGATTATCGGATGATCTGTACTCTGACCGAAACGGCGGCCAGGTGCTCCTCAGCCCACTCGCAGAGATTCACTTCAAGCGTTGCATTGTGGACGAAGGCCATAAGCTAGGCAACTCAACCATAAGCCGGAAGAGCAATCTGCTTCTGCTTATCGACCACCTGCAGATCTCAGCCAAGTGGATTGTCACCGGTACGCCGTCAAAGGGGCTGTTTGGTGTCGACAACACGCCCAGCCCGCAGGAGGAGCACCCTAGGTCCAACAAGCGACAGGTGGAAACCTCTCCAGACCTCGAAAAAGAAGATCTTAAGCGAATCGGTTCAATTGCCATGCTATACTTGCGCATGCGCCCTTGGGCAAACCAACCTGCTGAGACTGGTGATTCTCCTGCGGATTGGACGGTCTATGTTATGCAACCGAAACACTCCGCCCGCAGCATTGGCCGAGCTGATTGTCTTCGGGGAACATTGGAATCGCTAATTATTCGGCACCGCCTACCCGATCTCGGTGATCTACTTCCAAGTGTCGACGAAAAAATTGTTTACCTGGATGGCTCCTTCCAAGATCGGCTCGTACTAAACCTCTTCTCCATGATGATCATCTTCAATGCCGTGCAGTCACAGAGAACGGATCAAGATTATTTCTTCCATCCGCGGCAGAGGAAAGCACTCCTAGAGCTCGTACACAATCTTAGACAAGCGAGCTTCTTTGGTGGCTCAGTCTTCTCGCCAGAGGAGATTCTCAAAGCAGTTGAGACAGCGGAGGAATTTTTGGAAGAACGAAAGGTTCCAATCGGCGCCGATGACGAGGCCTTACTGCGAGAGGCCATTATGTTTGGCCGTCTGGCTGAGCAAAACACAGTCAAGCGGTGCGCCAATCTGTTCCGCGAGCTTCCATTGTATGTGAGGAACTTTCCCTGGGGCGCCGGCCGCGAGTGGTCTCTCGATCTCCACGACGGAGACCCGGTGTGTACAGACTCACGCATGGTCTCCGCATTACAGAAGCTTCTTCAGCCCTTGGTTGATTCGCCAATGTCTCTCAAATTGTTGTTTGATACCGGGCGATTTTCGGCGCGCGGGTGGGAGGAACGGTCAAAAGGTATCGAGCAACAAACCTCAAACAGTGGAGGGCAAACCCAAACAAAAGTTCTCGCTGGAAACACTCCTCTTGGCCAGGACAGTAAATCCTCGGCCCAACGGCGCTCGGCCATTTTGACGAATACCCTAACGAATCCCAAGAGCCCCGTAGGGGCCGAAGAGAACCCTGGCACTAATATTGCAGAACCACTCTCTCAGGCTCAGCTTATCTCGACGGCTTCCGCAAAGCTATCCTATCTAACAGACCAGATTGTGAAATACCAAGACTCAGAGCAGATTATTGTGTTCTACGAGAATGACAACGTGGCATACTATCTCGCTGGTGTACTGGAAATTGTAAGCTACTCAATCTGCACTCAATCTGCACTCAATCTACGTCTAGACCAGATTCACTAACCACTGTGGGTGAATTTAGCTTCAGATCCAGCACTTGATCTACGCTAAAGGCCTTACCACTGAGCGCAGGTCCCAGTATGTCGTGACATTCAACCGCAACCCAAAATTCCGGTTAGTCTTGCTCTTCTCTTTTATCGACTCATCAAGGCCTCACTGACCATACCCTCCCTCAAGCGTTCTCCTCATGGATATCACACAGGCAGCCTTCGGTTTGGACATGCAGTCCGCGTCACGGATCTACTTCATCAGCCCCGTCCTCAACCCACAGGTCGAGGCGCAGGCCATTGGGCGTGTACGACGCATCAGTCAACAGAAACCCGTATCGGTCGAGACGCTGGTTTTACGTGGCAGCGTGGAGGAGGTGGTTGTACGCCGCCGAAGCGAGATGACACAGGCGGAAATGCGGAAATGCCGGAGCATTCTCGACGACCGTCCCATCTACGATTGGATTCTAAACGCCCGCATTCTACCTTTACCTGGTGGCGATGTTCCCAGAGAGGAACAGATGGCGCGTTTGGAGGTCCCGCAATTCTTGTTTGGCCGGGGCTTTGGAAGGGAGCTAAGTCATCCGGATCAGGATTTGGTTGGATTGAATGGGTCACCAGTTGGGGATAAGAAGAATGGGTTGGTTCTCCTGGACGAGGGAAAGAAGAGGCGTTCGCCGGGGAGAGATGCAGCATTAGGTGGTGCGGAAGTGTTGGGGAATGGCGAGGCTACACCGGCGAAAAGAGCCAGGGTACGCTTTGCCGGGTCAGATGATGAGTCGTAGGATGGACACACGGCGAGGGAGACATGGTTGCTACAGATACGGTTGAGCCTTTATATTGGATTAGAAACATATCTAGCTTTTAATACCGTGGCAGTGTCAAGGGCTCAGGCCTAGGGCCATGCCCTCGCAAGGCCTTGGCCATGAGCAGT